AAAAGAAAAAATATGTATGTACATCCCGACGTAACACATTAAAGGCTCTTTCGTTTTCCCCATTTTGGAAACGTAAGAAATGCGGTTGGTTCCCTTGGTACACAAGGGGGGGTATGATACCATGCCGGTAATAGGTCAACCTGGTGATACGACATTGCACTGCTGCTCTTCTGATCTGCTGTGCTGCTTGCCAGACGTTTGAGTTCCTTCCCGTGGTTACATTTTCCCCCCGAAGGAGGCAGCCCCAATTGTGCCCTGCTTCCTCCTGACGCAGGTACAAAAATTTGATGAAAGTTACACCCGCCAGGAAAAATGACCCCTCTGAAAGTTATTAGCAGGTAGGTAGGTGGGGCGCGAAGGCGTTCCCTCAGTGTGCTCCCGTTTTTGCGAGGGTGAGCATATAATGGGGCATTCCAAGTGGGAGATCTACCTCACCTGCCTGACCATTCTTCTCACCCAATCCCCAGGCAGCGCAGCCGCTTTAGTACACTGGCGGCGCTGAAGAAAAAGTGGCAGGACCTGAGCTCTTACATAACAAAGGAAAGTGACATGTCCCACTGGAGGGAGCTGAACGCCAAGCTCTTCGAGGCAGAGGTGCTGGTACAGAAGCAGGAGCGCGAGGAGTATCGGCGGATCGACTGGGCCGCCTGGGCAGAGAAGATCAGCAATAAGGAGGCTCTCACGTGGTAAGTGGGTTGGAATGTGCAGCGCCCCGTGTGGCAGATTCACCACGTAGAAGTTACACCGTGTTGAAGCTGCACCACGTAGGGGGTACACCATGTTGAAGCTGCACGACGTAGAAGTTACACCGTGTGGGAGTGACACGAATGCTCCCCCCTCCCCAACGCAGCATGAAGAAGTTCTACGACCACCAAATGGACGTCCTGGACGAGCTGGACCAGAGCGAGGGAAAAGAAGCGAAGGATAGGAAGAAGAGCAAAGAGGATGAGCTGTTCGAGGAGGCCCTAAAAAACTGCCAGGAAGCCGAAAAGGCGTCAGCCAAGCTCCTCATAGACGGAGCGAAAACCTTGTGGATAAACTTCCATAACCCACCAGTGAGCAATCTCGATAATAACGAATGGATTGACAGTGACCTCTACTGGCAAGCATTTGTAGAAAAACACGCCACGTATAATCTGAACAGCAAAACAATAACCCCGGAAGATGAGGAAAACAAAAATATCGAAAAAAACGAGTGGATGAAAAAAACGACAAAGTTTAACGAAAGAAGTGACACCCCAATACTGTATGACTATATGATTAATCTCCCCTCGTGGGAACACTACGATATCAATCGGAGAATCTTCCTCGAAAATATGATTTACTTCTTATTAAGGACAGGATTAAGTTATAAGTTTTTCCCTGAACTGTTCAGGTGGAAATGGAAAACACACATTGAAGATTTGCGCTTCCAATATTTGGAGGTTGCCCAGAGGAGGAGAAAAAATTACCAACTTGTCACAGCAAAGAGGGAAGTACCTCTTGAACTTCAGCCATCAGATTATGAACACAAAGGAGATGAGTATCACTTGAAGCTTCTCCAACATTTTAGGGATTATCAAAATTTAGTTCTTTCTCGCCTTATGGGTAATTACATTTTTTTGTGTGATCCCTTCATTCCGGTGCAAACTGAGCAGATGTTACAACACGTGCTCAGTACCTACGAGGGAGGGAAACTATTCAGACTGTCTAATGACCAGGTGAATTGTCTCTTCTATCTGCCTCCACCTTGTGATGAAAACAAAACGACTGTGCAATACAAACCGCTTGACGCACTGGACAATTTTTTTCACTACTTAAAGGGAAAAAATATTAAGCTAAACGATTCCTATTTTTCCTTTTTAAAAATCATTTCTCAAGTTTTACAAGAAAGGGGGCAATACTGGCTGAACCTTCCCAATGAGAATTTCGCTGACTCCTTCCTAAGACGATACAACAAGGACGATTCCATGTTCCCTGTTTTTGTTGACTATGTTGCGCAGTTGAGAGAACAGTTTGACAACAGAGTGGAGATCCCACCCGACATGTATCAGGAGGAAGTTACCCGCATTGAGGAGAAATACCTGGAGGAGTGCTCCTTCTTTGACAATTTTGTTAGGGCATTTTTAACCGAGGACATTGCCCTCTCCCATGAGGAAGGAGCGGTTCCCAATTTGGTTAAGTTGGACACCAACCAAATTAAGAAGTTGCTCAGCGAGGGGAAGCTCCGCGTGGTGCACCCCGAAACGCGAGAGGAGGTCCGAGACCCCGCCCTCGTCGCGGAGCTCGCGCGCCAGCAGGAGGCCGAGCGGGCGGAAATCCACGAGTTCGTGAAGTCGCTCCCGATTTAGCGACAAGTGGAACGTTTTCCGGTGCAGCAGTTGCCCTGTTGACGCTTCTTCACCGAGTTGAAGCCGCGGTAGAGAAGTGGGGCAAATTAGGCGCAAGGGGTTGCGGACGCATGTGCGAACGGGCAACGACCCATTTATGCACAATTGAGGGGGAAAAAATACCCATTTGTGAATAGAAAAATGGCTACCTGCATGAACAAAAAAAAAAAAAAAATGCATGCACACCGAAATGGCTACCTGTACAGACACGTAGAAAACAAAGGAAAACAGAAGATTGCAACACAAAACAAAACAAAGCAAAACGAAACAAAACATCCACTTCTTCACAGCCACTTCCTCACTCCCACGAAGCTACAAACACGCGGCGCGCGCCGCCGGCCGCTTCCTGGTCAGCAGAAAATCCACGACGAAGGGGCCGACGGGCACTTCCGTCTGAACGTTCAGGCAATTTTTGGGAAAAAAAGGAGAAATTCTCTTCTGAATAGCTGACATGTTAATGTCGTAATAGTTGGGCTGCGCGATGTGCTGGTAGGCCCTGCTCAAGAGCTGATGCAAGCAAAGAAGAAATTTTGGAGAAAACTGCCCAAAGTCGTAGACGGAGTGTAGCACAAACAGAGTGACGTGCATTTGGTGTGCAAACGATTTGCTATTTGCTCTCCTCTCATTTAGAAGAAGCAGGATGGAGCTAACCAGCTTCAAGTCAAAGTAGGAGAGGAACATGGACGAGTAGCATATGGATACCAGGGCCAAATCGGTAAAGGTGTGTAACTTGTTCGAAATGTTTCGCTTCAAGTTGGCCAAAATGTCCATCGGAATGCGCAAATTCAATTTTATCAGCGAAACGTAAAACAGTGTCAAATTGCGGCTGTCCAGAGAGTCTATTATGTGTTTTTTCTTTTTAACTAAGTTGATAACAAACGCTTCATCTCGTATCTGTAATTTTCCAAAGGCGTGTAGCAGCATGGCTACATTTCGATGTTGCAGCAAATGTTCCTTATCACTGACCTTCTTTCTGATAAGATAAAAAAGTTCTACATCTCTCAGATTGAAGTTTGCGTACACATTAGCAAGTATGGCCCACTCGGATGGTTCAAACAGGTCAGCATTCCGCGAAGTGTACTTACACAGGAGGGAAAAAAATGTCCTATCGAATAACTTACACTTAGAGTATGCATTAGCAATCATCACCATTTCGACTGGTTTGAAGTGGTCAAATTTTGCACAAATATGAGGTAAAAAATTGACAAACAAATGGTAGTGCTTCTTTTCGCCCAATTTTGAATACGCATTTAATATGTTGGCGATTTCTTGTTCTTTAAAATTGTTGAGATTTTTTTCTACTGCTTTGATTAGACGGCAGAATAAAGTTGCACTCCCCAGACTTAACTTACTGTATGCATTGCATAGGTTGCTAATCGACTGGCAACTCAATTCGTCAATCCTTTCGCAGATCTGCTGCTCCATATGTGTGAACAGCTTAGCATCCCCGTAATTAAGTTTCGCAAAACAGTTAGCTATCTGCGAAATATCAAATGTATGCAGGTTCTCCTCTTTGCAATTTCTGACATAAATGGAGGCCTCTTTCAGGAGAGGCTCATTCAGTACGTAAACTCTGGCGAAAGAATTCAAGATTAATGCCAACCATCGCACAGACATGGTCTTGTGGACATCCTCAATGCGTAACAATGCGGTTAGCTTCCCTCCCAGGGTGTTCCAAAATGAATGGTCCTTAAATCGGTGTGCCGCTAGCTGGTTGCATATCAGCGAGAGGGACATGAAATAGTCCTTACTGTTGATGTAGTGTTGCCGCAGGTGCAGGCTCTTGATCACCTGGCTGCTCGCGTACGCCAGAACGCGCATCAGTTCATCGTGTGGGTCTGTCGCATGTCCAGGATTGCGCCCCATCGAAGGGACTGATGCGCGTTCTGCAGACCCCTCGCAGGAAGGCTCTTCCCCCCCTCCATCCACCACGTGGCCATTCAGGCGGGGAGAGAAGCGATCGGCGAAGCGGTCAGCCGAGCGGTCAACGGAGCGGTATGTTAAGTGGCCATCCAGTTGGTTCCCCCCCACCTGCTGCCTCGTGTGTCCAAGCGAAGTTACCACCCCGGGACCGATCTCCCGCTTGACCCCCTTTTCATCATTCCACATCCCGCCGCACTCACTGGGCCGCTTACTCCGCAACGTTTTCTTGGTGCTCATTATTCGAAGGTATATATGCTTGAGCATTTTTTTTTCCTTTTTTTTTTTTTTTTTTCTTTCCTTCATCTGCTTTGCTTCTTCTGGGAGTGTCTGCTCTGCAGGGACGGGGTTCGCATCAGCAGATGTGCCTACATGTATAAACGCATGTGTTGTTTCACAGGTTAACCTCGCATTGTTGTACGTCCGCTTCGCACGATTGTGCGTCCCCCGCCCTCTGGACGATCCAACGGTCTACCTCTTAAAAGGAAAACCATCGATTGGGAAAATCCGCTTGGGCAATAGGCTCAGAGGGGGAAGCGAAACGCAGGTGGGTACATATCAGAGTGGAAAATGAACCTGATGCATTAATTTTTTTTTTTTTTTTTTTTTTTTTTTTGCCTACTCAATGCAGCACACCCTTCGTGCCCTTTTCACGCCACTCTGTTGGACTCTCTCCTCATGTTGACTCCTCACCGGGATCGGTGTACATAATATAAAATGGGGGACGGAATTGCGCTGAATTTGGCGAAACTTCTCCATGACAAGGTTTCCTCTCCAGTGGAGGGAAGTGTGCCCCCACGAGTGGATTCATTTTAGGGAGCCGCCTGGTGGTTGACTGGTTCGCCACTAACCGACCGCTAACTGGCCTCGAGTCGACTTTCCTCGTTTAAAGCCGTCACGATTAGGAAGTGCTCCGTTGTAACTGCTCCGTCGTAACCGCTCCTACTTCTTCATCCCTTCTCCAGCCGCCATACCGACAACGAATGGGTAAGTCACAAGGGCTAGGCTAAGCCCAGCGGGGAAGGGGCTGGTACGCGAAACGTCTTTTTTGCCGCCTCCCCCGTACGTGGTCTTATATACCGGTGCAAAGGTTAACAACGGGATGTTCCAGGTTACACCTTTTTTTTTTCTTTTTTTTTTTTATTTTATTTTTTTTTATTTTATTTTCCCCCATCAGGGAAGTCCTTCTACAACCGCAGCACCCGGCTGTGGTGGGGCCACTGCCACCTGCGGATCGGGAGTCGCTTACAGGTGCGGCTAAACAAGGGTGTGAAGTTTTCTCACTTCGAGCACATCGGCCGGTTTATCGAGTTCGCCAGGTAGGCCGCCGTGGTGAAGGGAGCCAACGTGCCCACCTCGCATCAGCAACAGGGCATATGCAACAGTAGACCTACCGCCTATCATCCCTATTCTGTCCCATAGCACCTCCCCCATTTAGTGCCTCATTTTTGCTTCCCTCCTCCCCCCCCACGACGCCTCAGAAATTCAAGGTCCCTGCGCGCCGCCACGCTCAGCAAGTGTCTGCGAAGAAATTTTTGGGGTACCAACTTTTACTTCACGGGGGAGCCCAAAACGGGAGAGAACCCCCAGCAGATCTCCAAATCGACGCAGAATGAGGGTAATGACAGGGAAGTCCCTCCGTCCGCACTATGGAGTCACCCCAACTGGACACTCACATGCGAATAAAGCAGACACGTCCATCGCACATACGTAACGATGTATTCAGCTGTGATTTGTTCACCTCTGATTTACTCACCTGTGATTTTCTCCCCCTTTACACACACACCCACCAGGAGCATACATCTACGCTGTCGAGCGAGGAAAAATAACCCCATCAGAATGGGAGCTGAAGAGACTGGAGTCCGTTCTTGGGGTTCCCCTACGAAGGGAAAAGCAGAAAACACTGCTGAGGAGATTGTAAGGTGGATCCTCCACTCTGCCATCCGTTTACTCGAAAACCTCTTTTTCCCATTTTTTTTTTACCAATGGGGAGTAGCACAACGGAGGAGAGAAGAACAGTATAGGACTTTTTTTTTTTCTTTTTTTTTTTAATGCGTGTCAACTACGCTCTTCACTTGGCATGGTTTGGGGATTCTTCTGGGGGGTCATATCCCTTCGGTGAGTTCATTGGAGTGACTCGCCCATTTGGAGGTTATCACGTTTCGTACCCATTTCGTCATTCTGCCACTACGGAGGTGTACCTTTAGCCTAATTCACCTGCATGTCGTCGCACCATCGACAATGGTACAGCATTAACTCATCGTCGGATCATCTTGCCCAATCGGAAAAGTAGCCGGGCCTTTTTGCTTTGGTACTTACCCATTGGATGGGGAATCAATTGCATATAGTGGCTCGTAAGTGAACCTAGGTCAGCCAGTAAAGGGACTCCCTCACAGAACAGTTGGTGAAGCACACATTACTACAGGGGAGGTAAACTCTACTTTTCTCCATTTTTTGGCGTCCTTTCTCTGTGTTACAAAAACTAAAGAAAAAGGCAACTCTCTGAGGTGTATTCCCTTTTAAGGACACACAAAAAGAAAAAAAAAAGGTGCACCCTGCATTTCCTTTAAGTCACCGTCGTGTGGCTTCGCCAAGTGGCAACAACTCGAACGGCGCTGCCAATTGGACTGTGGCGAGGGCATCCCCCCGGGGGACCCTTTGGGAAATAAAAAAAAAAAAACACGCTGCCAACCATGGATAGGCTATATGTGACCAGGAGGAGGCACAATTTTGCGAAACAAAAAAGAAAAAAAAAAAAAAAAAAGGGATACTCCAAGGGAAGGAAAAAAAAAAAAAAATCCAAACGAGTGAGATGACTGACGTACCACTAAGCAGCATCATTTAGGAAGGAAAAAAAAAGAAAAAAACGGAAGGACGGAACGAACGAACGACGAAGCTGCAGAGGGGAATTCCAGTTGGACGAACTCCAAACTGTGAGCCCGCCCTATGAGCCGACTGACCGCCTCAAGATGCCAAAGAAACCCACAAGGACGGATTGACCACACGGTGGAAGAAGCCTCGCCCTCCCCGCTGGCTTCTTACATGTACATGCAGGCTGTACATGTCCGAGGTTGCGCAGTAGGCAGCAGCGGAGGGAGCGCCACCGGGGGGCACACCAAGGGGTAGGGGAGGAAGAGCGGCTCGTAAGGCGCACCGCACAAACGAATGAGCAACCCGTAAAGCGCAAAGACGGAGGAGCTACCCGCCACCACCGCGCAGAGACCGACGCGGCTGGCGAAGCATGAGCAGCAACGCGGCGAGGGGCGAGTCGGACGAAGGGGTCGAGAGAAACGACGTTTTCTTGTACAGAAGCGAAGCGGGGAATGAGGGAGACTCCTGCAATGTGTTATGTCTCTTCCTCTTTTTTATTTGTCTATTTTTTGTGATGCTGATGACAGCCGATAACAGCACAGTCCCGACGGGGAGCGGCCACGAGGGCGGGGCAGGAGGGGTAGGAGCCGGAGGAGGTGGCCTTGGTGCGGACATGGATGGCAATCTGCTGCCGGGAGAAGGAGGAGACAGGTCCGCGCCGGACGACGTATTCGACAACGTGCTAATCCAGTGCCTAAATTTTAGGGGTCGCTACCGGGTAGAGGACAGGGGGCGCCATGGGAGCGATAGAAGCGGCGCGACTACCGCGAATACCGCAAACACCGCCACTACCGCGAGCACTCAGATGAAGGGCCATCACAGAGGAGGCGAATTCGAAGCCAAGCTGATTACGCTGAAACTGTCCCTCTACAACGTAACGAAGTCGTTTCTGTTTCTGTACTTTGAGCCGGAGGGTGGGAGGGGTGGAGGCAGCAAAGGTGAGGGGCAAGACGGACGTAACTACAAGGACAGCCGCCGTGCTGGTCCCCCGCCAAGCTCGCCCAACCAGCCGAGCAAATTCCACTTCCTCGGTCTCCCCGGGATTAACGTCAACCGGGACAACACATACATGTTTAATGGTGCCGGTTACAACTTCCTGACGCTCTGCCAGGAGGAGAAAAACTGCATCTGTAACTACAACGTGGGCATTCAGCAGAACGTGGAGATGCACGAGTCGACATCTCTGCGGGAGGTAGAAGAGTCTTATCTGTATTTGCTGAAGAAGTATCTCATGGATGAGGCGGCGTCCTTTGGCGGCTACCCTTCGGCGAGGTACCGCGATCAGTATGAGCGTCATCTGAGTGCGAAAGCAGCAGGCCTGGTGGGGGAAGCGCCAAATGTGAGTACGGACACTCATGAGAACGCGGCTACTCCTCGTGACGAAGCGGACACTTCTCACGACGCAGCTGATAGTGACCGCAGCGGGACGGCCACCCCCCACTACCGTGGCTACATTTCCTCCAACAACTGCGGATTGTTCGTGCGGCTGGAGGGGAACGACGTGGACAAGAAGCACGCGGCGGCGCAGGTGACGTTTTTCTCCATCCTGTACAATATGAAGTCCGTGGTCGAGTTATGCCTCTTTTATCTGCAGATAGGGAGAAGCAGTGAGAACATGCGGAGCGCAAGCAAAGTGTCCCTGCTGTCGATTTGTCTAAATTCATTTATCGACCTATTCGAGTCACTACTTCTTCTCTACGAAGTGATGTTGTCCCGATTGTTACTCGTGCACTTCATATTTATGGTTCTTCTCAAGTTTGTATTATTTACCCTGATGGAGCTAAGATACATTTTAATCATCTGGAAAGCGAATCACCAGCAAGATTTACAGGAAGGGTGGGATCAGCTACAAAGGAAATTGGGAACCTTGTACAAGTTTTATTACGGGAGTATCCTCCTAGTTATAGTAACATTCTATTACGTGTTTCCTGTCTGTCCCTACGTTCTCTTGTTATTGTACATGTGTTGGATTCCTCAGATATTGCTCGACATATGGAAGGGACAAAGGAATTCAATAAATCTGAAGATCGTTTTTGCTCTTTCTCTATGTCGAATCTTCCTTCCAGTGTACCGATTTATGTATTCACAGAGCATTTTCCACTTAGACGTATTCGCACGCGCGATGGATTCGTCTAACACCAGTACCTTCAGCATCCTCCTCATCGTGATCCTAGCCGTGCAGCTATTTTTCATGTCTCTACAACGGCTGTACGGACCGAGACACCTCATAGACATCGACCTGTTACCCCATGTTCATAACTACTACAAGACTATTGATCCCAATTTCGAGACGGGTATTCCCGAATGCGTCATCTGTATGTATGATATCGTCTTAAAAGATCGGAAGTACTGTGTCACTCCCTGTTTTCACATCTTTCACGAGAAATGTCTGCAGCAGTGGATGGATGTCAAGCTGGAATGTCCCACCTGCCGCGGTGCCCTCCCCAACTTCCCCTAACGGGGTAGCCCCAGGTGCGGCGGGACGTACGTTTGTGTGTGTTTTCACCCATTTGGCTTCCCCGTTTTTTTTTGAAGTCCACTGTGCAGGCAAGAAACGCGCCTATTTATCACGTTATAAAAAAGAGAAAATAAAAAAAAATAAAATAAGATAAAATAATTGTACTATGTTTAGGGCAGGCACCCCATCACCCATTACCGCTGCGAAGCACCGCGCCTAGTCTCCCCACATCGTCGTGGAACGCAGCGAGCACCGCCGGCTTCAAAGGGGGGTAGACGAAGCAGTACGAGAGGAAGAAGCTGATCCCTTTGCTCGTGGCACCACTGCACATCCCGTTATTCACCAATTCGGCTGCATGCGGAATGACTCTCTCGATGGATTTCACTACGGAGGCACTTCCCCGATTGGTAGCCTCCCTGACGGTCAGGATCTTTATCATCTGTGTGAAGAACGCCGCGATGTTCTTTACCATGATGGATGTGGAGTTGTCCCCCTGGAGGTTACTCTTGTTCTCTACGAAGAGGGAGACCAGTCGGTTGGTTAGTCTCTCTAAGTTACTCTCCTCCCCGTAGAGGAGCCTCGCCAAAAAATCTGTGTACTTGGATAAGCAGCAAAGTAGGTTGATACAGGCACTTGTTAAGCCACCTCCACGTGGGGAGTCTAACTCGGACAGGATGGACCGCTTCATCCAATCGAAGGAGTATTCATCGAGGTGAATCTGCTGATCATTCTCTTTCTCGATTTTTCGCTTTAGTGAATGTACCAGTTGCCCGTTTCGATCCTCGTTGGACGTGTCCTCTTGAGTGGAAGGTACGTAATGATCATTTTTACACCTCCTTTCTTCTGTCCCGAGCGGGAGAGGCACCGACTTCCCTTGGTCTATTTCCACCACGCCACAGTAAGCATATGTGTACAATCGACTCAGTATAAAGCAGCTGAGCTCGGCTACCCTTATGTTGTCTGACCGGGTGAAGAAGATCATTTGGCGCAGGGCGCCTTCCCGAATTAGAGTCTTCTTTCGAGGGGGGGAGGACGCTCCATCTCCTTCTCTAATTTGCTCCTTCCATGTGCAGGTTAAATTGAAGAGGAGCGACAAGACGTTTTCAAGGGGGTTCTCCCGGTTAGGGCTACTGTCAAGCTGCCTCTCCTCATGGGAGAAACTCTCCACAAAGTGCAGCATGTGCGGCCAGCTGGCACTCATGATGATGTCCCTAATCCTGGGGCTCCCCACCAGGTTAACCAACACAGACAAGCAGTTGCAGTTCATGCCCTGGCAAGAGTAAAAAAGCTCATTGGTGTATATTATTATATTAAGAATATCCCTCGTGAATTCCTTCTCTAGGACATCCCGTCCCTCCTGTTTCAGAGTTAGATGTGAAATGATTCCGAACAGATTGGCTAGTTCGAACTTGTGTTTGTACATTCTGGCTGTTCGTTCTTGGAGCTCCTTCCAGGGGTCTCGCTCCGTCGGTGTGTCACTCCCACTGTTTGTTTTGCTCTCCGGTGTATCCCTCCCCCTGCCTGTTCTGCTCTTCTGTGTCCACCTAGTCGTGGGAGGCTCCCCCCCATGTGTCTTCCCCCCCTGTGGGATAACCCCACGAAGATCCACCTCGTACCTTCGCACGCTCTCTAGTTTTTCAATGCACTCCGTTAGGTACAGTAGTCTTGTGCGCTGCTCCTCCGTGTAGAGGCTTCTCTCCTCTGCGATGAGGTGACCAATTCGAGTGAGGAGCATTCCCATCAGGGTGTGCTCCTCCTGCTGTATGATCCGTTCATGTAATAACTTCCTCCCTTCCGTGTCCCTTCCAATGGAATTAAAGAATCGTGCAGCTTTGACTTTCTTAATTCTCTTTAACTGGTAAAGTGTGATGAGTGGGTTTACTGCGCTGAGGCAGAAGTCTGCACATCGGTGATCCCATTCCAGGATGAGAGTAATCAAATCGATGAGGAGGATGGCACTGAGGGAGGTGTATCTGGGAAGTTTGCCTCCCTCCACTTGTTGGCTTTTTCCATGGACAGCGGCTTCTTCCCTCCTTTGTGCTCTCTTCACGTAAAGAAGCACTTCCTCCAGTTTATCTGCACAGAATGAGAGGAAGGTGGTCCTTCCCTTGCGGTTAGCCATCCCACTAGAAGTACCTCCTTTACTATGCTCTATGGAGTGTACATCTGAGTAGAATGCTAACTTGGCCTCTTCACTCCTCTTGAGGGATTTTTTCACCCCTTTGAGCGTCTCCCAGAAGATTTTCCCGTCTTTGGTGAGATCCATTTTGGCTAGCTCACTGAGTGTGTGGGAAAGGTCCATCGTATCTTCCTTCACATTTGAGTTGTTTCTTCTCGGCAGAGGGGAAATGCCGTTCGGAGGGACAGTCCCCCCCGATGGAGTGTCCCTCCTCACCATCCGTTCACACTTCTCGACGTACGCAGAGGCCTCTACATCCCCGGGGGAAAACTCCAAAGCGGATTTGAAGCTCGTCAGTGCTTCCTCGAAATGGAAGAGTCTGTACCATGCCAATCCTTTCCTAAGATGGCTTTTAAATAAAGTGTCTTTCTTCAGTCGGAAGTCTTCCTTAAAAACATCGTAGTATTGGATGACCTCATTGCAGCGGTCAATGGCAAGGTCATACCTATACGTTTTAAGATAACATAGAGCCACGTTATTATAAACCTCTAGGTAATCCTTACACACTTGTAGTGCCTCCTCGTAACATTCAATCGCTTGGACGTATTTCTTTTTTTTGAAAAATTCATTCCCTCGGAGCTTTATCGAGTAAGCAACTTTCCTGTGTTGGTTCTTCGTGTCAATATCGCTCTGTAGTTTCTGCTCCAAGAGGTTAAAATCCTTGTTGTGCTTCGGGACGTAGGTGATTTTCTCATCTTCGTCGAAGGTGTCCGAGCTGGGTTCATAGTGGTTCCACTTGTCATAGTCAGTGATAGTGTTGGCGATGCCTGCTTCATTCGTCGGACCATTCTCCTCATCGCTGTTGCCTGTTCCCACCCGGCTTGTCTCCCCCTTCCGGTTGATCTCACTCTGCCACTTCTTCCAGGAAGCCCTCCTGGCGTCCCTTTTCTTTTTCTTCTCCTTATATTGGTTGACCTTTTCTTGCAGATCGCGCAATCGCTCTTCCTTCGTTACAACACCCCCTGAGCACCTAGGGCAGTTGCTCAGCACGTACTTAAATTCGACCAAGCAGTGTGAACAAAAGTACTTATAGTTGCTATCCTTCGTCCCTGTACCCCTTGTTCCCATGATGTACCTCTTGTGCTCCTCCTCCTTCTTCTCCGCCTCTCTCATTTGTCTGACTTTCTCCTTCAAGAGGAGCTTCTTCTCCTCCTGCTGCATTTCCTCCACGGTTATTTTTCCGCTCAGAATGTTTTGCACCTTCTCTGTCACGTCGTTCACTTTGCTGAGAAATTCATCGATGTCTTCGTCCCTGGGCAGGGCGTAGCGCGCGCCACCCTCCTCAAGCAACCTCCCCATCCCACCTGCAACGCCGTCTGCTGCAATGCTCTCCATCTCGGGGCGTACCGAAGCCAGACAAGCTAAGCAGACAAGCTAAGCAGACAAGCTAAGCAGACGAGCTAAGCAGACCCGTTCAATGCAAACCGAGCATTATTAGTGCAGACAAAACCCCCTTCTTCCCAAAGAACCCACACGATGAACAGCACCCCCTCCCTTATCCTATCCACCGAGGTGTAACTTCCGCTTGAGCAAAGCTCAGTCTCCACTTTGCTGCTCACAAAAAAAAAAAAAAAAGTGTTGCCCGGCAAGGGGAGGAGCACGTCGTACCTTCCGTGTGCACTTAAGGGGAAAAAAAAAAAAAATAAATAAATAAACGGATGAATAAACGAACGAACGAATGAACCCCAAATGAAGGAGAAGAAAAAAAACGCAACAGTGAGGAAACGTGAATCACCCGAATCAGCTATACAAAGCGGCCGTCGCGCATCGCGTGTGCTGTTGGCTTCGTTTCCTCCTCTTTGCCCCCGCCCAGCGCGCGAACAGCGAAGTGAACAAGTGGAAAAGCTAACCGCTACAGAGTGATGAAATGACTGCTACCGCGCGGCCAGCTAACCGCTAGCGAGCGACCAAGCCATCTCGTCCAGCCGGCGCTGAAAACTGAAGTTATATTTATTCCATCGCCTAATCCGGAGGGCACTATAATTACCCAAGTGGAGAATCTGCAGAGGTGTATAAAACTCGGTTAGGAGGGACTCCGCGACAGAAGGGCTAAAAGGAGACCCAAAGCAGAAGAGAAGAGGAAGAGAAGCTAACCAAAAGAGCGAACACGTCCCATTGCAGACCAAGAGTGACTCGGGCAGGCATTCGCACAATTGCGCCTCGCCCAGCATAACTGCGTATGTTGCTTCCCCCCGCCAACCATGTCGAGCGAGCTGATGCAAGGCGTGGCTCTCTATAAGGAGCTCCTGTGTGTGTATTACAACGTGGCGGAGAGTGAGCTGAACATGGGTAGCGGAGACGTAGGAGAATTGTTCCAAATAAAGGAAGACCTAACTCAACCGATAAGTTGCGATATCGATAAGTGTAAGGAGATACTGAACAAACTGAAGCTCGTTCTGATTCACTTACCCTCGCTTGATCCCCTAGTACCCATCGGAAAGAAAAACACAAATGAGTTACTCCTCGCTAGACATATTTTAGAAAAAGGAGTAATCATATCCATCATCGATAGAGACATCAAATCTTTTTCCATCTACATGGCTCAGTTAATTCTCTATTATTTCGATTACCAGAACATCCTTCCGAAGAGTGAAAGCCAGAATGGAATCATCGGAATGTATCTCCTCTACCTCTTATCATCCAATCTAATCGGAGACTTCCACATGATGTTAGAGATCATTTCGATTCAAGATCAAAATGATGAATACATAAAATATGTCCTTGAGCTGGAGCAACACATTATGGATGGATACTTCTACCACGTGCTTACTAAGAAGGATGACATACCACTACACTTATATGCTCTCTTCATTGAAAGGCTATATAATACCATTCGGTATAAATTGGCTGACTGTATCTTCGCTTCGTCAAACTGTATCTCATCGGAGTATGCCTGTGAGCTTTTAAGATTTGTCAGTGAAAAGGATTTGTATCAGTTTATTGGAGAGTATAATGAGACCAAGACCAGTCAAGGTGAATGCAACCTGCTCTGGGAAGTTCGGGATAAGAAGATTTACTTCAATAATCAGACGGTCCATGTGCAGGACCTCCCCGCGCTTGAGGTGCTGAACAATACCATCGGCTACGCCACGGAGCTGGAGCGGATCGTTTAGCGGTCAATCGGTGGAGCGGTCACTCGGTGGAGCGGTCAATCGGCCATGTGGCCATGCGAGCCACCAACCCTGTTGCATTTTTCTTCCCCCCCCCGTAACGAATACAACTCATTCGGGAAGTCGCCATGCTGGCGCGCCCACAAACGGGCTCCCCAGTCCCTCGCCCCTAACGCAACTTTTTAAGTCCTCCTCCTTTGTCCATTTGTCGGGAGTTGTGGCAATCCGGGAACAGTAGGAGACGGGTCTGATGTCTCATCTGCGGGTCATGCGCCGACCGCGGCCATCTCCACCAACACGGTCAACTTCACCAATTCCACGTAATGGTACCCCCCTGTTAGTTTCTTTTCTTTAAAAAAATGGCAACTGAGTGGGTTTCCTTCCCATGTTAGGTGAAGCTATACATGCGGGCCCCGCCAAAAAAAAAAAAAAAATCCTGTGAGTAAAAAGAAGAAAAATATGCAGGTAGACAAAAGGTGGATAGCTTCCAATCAGGATAACTTCCTATCAGGATAACTTCCCATCTGGATAACTGCAGCCACGCCGTATCCCTCGAGATTTCAAAAAGGGGGCGTCAAACATGCACACAAATAAATAGTTCTAAATATGGATGCGCGTGTGTGCACCTTTCAGTATCTCACCTACCCCCCACCCCCGCCTCACTTTCCTGATGCACACACGGAGAGAGAAGTATATAGGTACAGGCGCCGCGTAAGCATTACAACACTTCCGAGACAGGTATGATGTAAGTACGCACGAAGCGGTCCATTTTTACACAAAAAATTCACTGCCATATGGTGAAGTGTTGCAAAAACGCTTTGCACTGCATGTGTGAAGGCCCTTCATTAAGATGCTAGTGTGTGTGTGTTTGGCTCCGTACGTTTGTGCGTGCGCGTGGAGTGGAGTCGGGGGAAGGGTAGATTGATTCAACTCAACCGAAGGACGTGCGCGAAGTGGGGGTCATTAAAATGGAGAACAAACGCGTGAACAAAAAAAGGGGCGCGCGCGGCAGGGCGGGCTGAGCGTGTGGGCGAGGTGTTGGCGGGGGCGTGCGGCGGGGTACACTTAGGCGTTGTCCCGCGCGCGCCGCCGCGTGGGGGATGCGGACATGAGCGAAGCGCACATATGAAATATTGCACCTGTGTAGCTATTATGACAGTATGCACATATCTGCGCGTCCGCGTGAGCCTGACCCACTGGCAGCCGTGGGAAGGCAGGAAGCTTCAATTACTACTTCGCCCCATCCAGCTTGTTGCGTTTTCCCCACCGTCTCAACGGTCTGAACCGTCTCAGCCTTCTAAACCTTCTCAACTCGTCAGGGACGCACAGCGACAATGCACGTTGCGGGGATACCCCCCTCAGGCGAGGTTCACCGCGCCATTGGTCTTAGCCTCCATGTTGGATTCACTAGACTCTTTGCTCAAATTGTCAGTCCTGCTGGAGCCGTCACTCGTCTTACTCATTACGTACTGTTCGTATGCCTCGTAGCTATGTTTGGATGTCAGCTTCCGCCTGCAGGCGTCGGACATTTCTTTGATTTCCGCTTCGGTGAAGTTAAACAACTCCGGCAGCTTCTCGATGTACTTAGGTAACCTTCACAGGGGTGAGAAAAAGAGGCAAACGAGAAGGCAATGAAGGAAGGGAAGCCGCAGCGAAGAGGCAACGAAGGGGCAGCAAAGAGGCAGCAAAGAGGTATCGACGTGGTAACGCGGTGACACACGATTGGACGGTTCTACGATTCTATATTCTACAATTGGACGGTTCTACGATTCTATATTCTACGATTGGACGACTCTACGCCTGTACAATTCTACACTTCTTCTCCACAGCGCAGAGGCGGGGCGTTACTTAATGCAGGGGTCCCTCAGGTCATCGAAGAAAGGATCCGCCAGGGCCTTCGCGCGAGGGGGTGGGGAAGGAAGCAACAACAATGAGCGTTAAATGCTTTGATAGTTACGCATGTGGGGGGACACAATAAGATGGAGAGACATGGCAGATCGTCTTCTCTCAGTGGGACCATCTGTGCGGACGCGCAACAACGAAAGCAGAGGCGGAGGATCCCCCCCCCCCTGCCTCTCCGCAGAGGTAACCACCTCTCACATGCTGTCACATCCCATCATCCCATTGGCAGTACCTCGATTGGGCTAAGCCGTTTCAGGGGCTCATATTTGAGGAAGCTGGATACGAAGTTGATGGCGTCTTCGGGGGTTCCCTTCGGAAAGACCTGAGTAGGAGCAGACGTGAAGTGGAAGAAGTGGGCAAAGTGACGTGTCGTCTCGAAGTGGCGTGTCCAAGAGGAAGAAGTAAAACATGGCAGAGCTGCCAAGATGTAGACATCCCTCAATCGGTTCTCTTATCATGGCTACCTTTTTGAAATCTTTTGGCTTCACATCTGGGAACTTCACATCTGCATAGTTCGGGTTCATGACTTTCATTTGCTCCTCCGTGGGTGTGCCTTCACAGAGGGGGGGAGATCAAATGAGCTAACCATTCGCTTTAGTAGGGCGCTACGTTTACTACTACGCCGCACATATAGGTGCAGAAAAGGAAAAGGGGGTGGCACAACCCCTGCGATCACTCACCTAAGACTTGGATGATTCTAACTAACTGATCGACGCTGGACTGGCCGGAGAAGAGAGGGTAACCTAGAATCATTTCGGCAATTATGCAGCCTGAGGGGAATGGCGGGGGGAGAAATGGAGAGGGATGATTCGAAGTGGAGAGAACCCCTTTGAGATGCGGAGCGGTGCACCACACGCACACGCAACTCTGCTGCGCTGCTCAATCTTGCCTCTTTCCCCACCGCTCGAAGAACCCTACCGAGGGACCACAAATCAATGTGCGTGGTGTAGTTGGTGGCGCCCAGCATCAGCTCCGGGGCACGATAAAACCTGGAGCAAATATAGGAGACGCTTCGCTGGCCCGATAGCAAGTTCTTGGCACTGCCAAAGTCACACAGTTTAAGTGTGTGTGTGTTGGGTTCTATTAATAGATTCTGTGGCTTCAAATCTCGATGGCAAATAAGCTTAGAGTGCAGATAAGCTAGTGCTCTGCAGAGTTGGTACGAATACAGCTTCACCAAAAGGAGAGGTAACGAATGGTTGTTCCTAGCATAGTGCTTCATATATTTGTGTACTGTCTGTGGAATAAACTCCATGACGACATTGAGGAAAACATTTTTTTCATTTTTTTTTACACACTCGGTGTAGTAGTAGTCCTTCAGAAAGATGATGTTCACATGATTTAGGTTCTTCATTATTATTAACTCTCTGTTTTTGTACTGAGGATCTTGGAGCACCTTCTTTATTGCTACCTTCTCCGATGTCTCCAGACAGATCGCTTCATACACCACTCCGAAGCTTCCATTCCCCACTAGGTTACCTATCTTATAAGATCTACTTGACGACCTATGAATTTCGTTTTCGACCATTCCTTCTTTTTCTTCACTCCCCAGATAATTATTCCTGTCACTTCTGCTCATCTCAGGTAAGCTCTTTCGGTTCGGCGGGCACTTCCCACTGCCAATGGCGATGCCACTTCCAATGCCGATAACACTCTTTCCACTGCCCATCTTGGGTGATTCGCCTCGTCCGGGGAGATCACTCCGGTTTGCCTCCTCCCCTCGACACACGTGGTGCTCTCCTCCTTTCCCCTGATCGCTCCTGTTTAGGTACTTCTTGCCGCTCTGTTCATTTTCGAAGCATGCACTGGTGTGGTCATCTAGGGGGGGAAGCAAAAAGAGGTGCAATGGGGATGAAGTGGAAGGAGGACGAAGTGGAAGAAGGTAGACGAAGTGAAAAGGAAGAAACGGAAGAGCAATGTTCTAGTCATCCCTCCGCAGCGATGACGCGGTTCCGGCGCGACCGCCGTCTTCGCCACGTCTGGCTACTATGCCGCGTCGCCATTTCGGCATTCGCCGCTACACCGCTACACCGCTACACCTCTCCAACGGGCGTACCTGTGTGCCAATCTTTCATATTCCCTGCGGTGTCCTTCCTTGTTACGTCGTCGAGCTGGAGTCAGTTACGGTGCGGGGGAGGTAGGGGGTGACGCTTGGATTGTTTTGGGGAATGAAATTCGACCGGGGAGAGCGCGTCGGGTGGGCTTTTTCACTCGCGGGCGCGCATATGTAGGTGTGAACAAAAAAAAAAAGAAAAAAAAAAAAAAAAAAAGCGTCTTCTCGGATGGTTTGCCGATTAGTTACAGACACGTAGGGGTGCCTACACGCTCGTATACATGCGTGTATTTAGCGTGTAAGTGAAACACATAAGCATATACGTGCACAACGCTCCACCGCAGGAGCGCATTTTCCCCCGCACCAACTTGGCTGACCCCCACGCGCAGTTCCACTGTTCATCGCCGAGGGGGGCACGTTCACCAAGGCTTCATGTTGCCGCGTGTGTGTGCCTTTTCGCCTTCTGCCTTATTGGTGCACCTTTTAGGGTGTATTTTGGCGTTTATTTTGAGGTGTACTTTGGGTGTCCCTTTTGGAGGGTATTTCCGCGTGTACCCTTCTGAAGTGTATTTCCGCGTGTACCCTCTTGGAGTGTATTTTTCCGTGTGCCTTTCCGCACAGGCGCGCGTGTAAAAATGATGTGAAAAAAGAGGGTGGAAAAATCATGTGATGAAGTCCATTGGGCGCACACAATTCTTCGTGTAAAAATAGGCATACATAAAATCTCTGGTGTGTTTTGTTTCTCTGTGTAGTGTAATATTGTTTGGGAGCTGATGCGCATTTTTTTTCACTCTCAATGTTTGACGAACGAGCGGCATTTCGGGATGTACGTGAGAATCTTCCAAGGTGGAACAGTCCCGGGAATTTCGCGCCGAACGGGAAGGGCCAAACGCCAAAGGGCGCATAACGCACCCAATTGTGTGCTGATTTGGGAAAGTCATGCTTGAGCGTGGCGCCATTTCATGTCACCTCCACCCCTATGTTGCCTTTTTTTTTTTTTTTTTTCCTCACCGTGTATGCCCACACAGGGCGTGAAAAAAGCTGCCATTCGTTTGCCAGTTCAGAGGAGCGTGCTGCGGCCCATGCGCCGTGGGCACGTGAGGGAATGTTTCACCCGTCGCTAAGCTTGTGGTTTAACCATCTTTGCATGATTGGTTTAGCCCTCCCCCCGTGTGCATTTCATTTCACCTCGCTGCATTTTCCCACGTCCGTTTCCCCTTGTGCGCGCGCCTTGTGGTGTTTTCGAAAAAAAGGATAATTTCGCACCAGATAGAGAAGTGTTCTCGTGTGGCAGCCACGGGTGGCGGTGGCGACTGGACTGATGATACGCTGATCCATACGCCTGTGCATGCCGAGCGGAAAAAGTGAAGAAACCGCGCGGGGTCGCAGGGGTGGAACTCCTAGCTGAGGTGCATACACCCAAGGGAACCCAACATAAACCACTGAGCGGATAAAATGGCACGCAAAAAAAAAAAAAAATACCGTGGGGGTGTCACTCCAATTCACTCGCTGTGCGCACACATTTAGGCAACGGACGAGAGCAAAGTATGTAGGCACGTATTCAAACTCTCCCAAGAAGTGCATATATCCCTGTGGATGGGCGCGACGTATCCGGTACGAAAACAGATCTACGATGGCAGTCGTCAAGGTGTGGCATGTTCGCTCTGCATGGATGGGGGGATAATATGCTTGCTAGGAAGTTGCACCTCGGTGTGATCACGTTAATTAACTTCCTTACTACGCAGATGAAGTGAAGGCACAGCTGGAGTTTCTCTTTTTAGGAAAAAAATGTTGCCCCTTCACAGGGGAGTGGAAACTACGCACGGATACAGACACGTGTGCACATGGGTATCATGTGTAAGATCAAATGTCGTTTTTTTTCAACTGACGGTTGATGCGACGACGAGGTTACGCAGCAGCGGCGAAGCGTACACCACTGCACTCCCGTCACTTTTTCACACATTTAAACATATTCATAAAATATGCTTTGCCCCGCATACGTCTCATCCATACATTTGCTTCATACAGGTTGGGCACAGTTCTCTCTCCCAGCCTACAATGCGCAAGAGTGTGTATTTTTTCTCGCATGGGTCTTTTTCGGACCATACTCAGGTTGTTCATAATGGGCCAGGCGCACTGATATGCACGAAAATGGGCTAAGGGGACTCTACCATGCGTAGCTACCCGTGTTAGGGGCGCTATCGGAGATACGGCGATACGGGCGTTACCACCGCCTAACCCGCTTCGTAAAGGGGGTTTCCACATGGTGGAGATTGCGCCCTTACTTTTGCTTCTTTACTCTACCAAGGGGTGCAACGGTACCCGCGAGGGAACTCCCTCTACATTTTGCTCGCTCTCGAAATGATGCGAAATGGCACACAAGACGTGGCGTAAATATGCCGCGCAGATGTGTGGCCCACTGTGCAGGGGAGGAGTGGGGCGAAGTGGGGCAACCATCCTCTTTCACAATGACGACCACGCAGTTACGAAAATGTTGCAGGCAAAACTGAAGTTCACGTAAATGTAAGCACAGTTAAGGGAAGACATACTCATGTAGTGTTATATCTCCCGACGGAGCTTTCCATGCACATGGCACTCTATTAAGGGACTCTCTCTCCACAAAACGGAGACTTCCCCCGTGGGTCCCCCAACTGTGCAGTGATATGCGAACAGTCAGGTGGGTGGCATTGCGCCAAGGGGAAGAAACCCACCAAAAAAAATAAAATAAAATAAAATAAAAAAAAAAAAAAAAAAAAAAAAAAAAAAAAAAAAAAAATCGAATGATGTACCTTCCCTTGCAGCCACGCGTGCACTGCCTTGTGCCCCAGGGGAACAACTCCGATCGGCATGCAGCTGCAGGTGAGGCAAAAAAATCACCAAGTTGCCCCAAAAAAGGGGGAAAAAGGAAAAAACGCCCAGTTGGCGGATACATGGAGGGAATTATCTCAAAAAAAGGGCCACGCGAAGAATAGCAAAAGGTGAGCGAAAAGAAAGAACCAAGAAAGAATCTATGTAGGGCTAATTATAACACCGTGTGAGAAGACCCCCAAACGTAGTTCCTTCACTGCAGTTCGTTGTAGCTCCTTCAGCGAAGCCCCATCACTGCAGCCCCATCACCGCGGAGAAACAAAATGGGGCCGCCAAGTGGGAAGGCCACCATCCCCCTCTTCATGTACAGCATAGCAACCACGGCGATCGTTTATCAGAATTATATTTTTATTGCCTTCTTGTTTAAGAAGTATAGAGCGTACGAATGGCTGTGCACAGGAGAGAGTAGCCAGATGGGGGGAGACTTCTTTGTCTGCAAGGAGCAGGAAAACTACATTCAGTTTTTGCTAGTGTCAGGGTTAATCATTCAGTTCATTTCTGGCTCTGTTGGAAGTATACTGATTAATGTTTTGTCCAAGAAGAAGTATGTGTCGCGCGTGGCCTTCGCCTTTTTGTTCGCGGGGTGGACGTTCCTCAGTGTTGCCCTTTCCTATTCGAAGCACTACATGCAAGGGTACTCGCCGATTGGCACTAATGGCGAAATCGTCGATGGCTTGGGGACTCGACGAGGGGCCTTCCAAACCATTTCGCTCCTATTCAACCTCGCATTTGCCTGCTTCGGCATCGGGTCGGACAACTCCTACCTGCCTATCATATACTACGTTAACGAGAAGTATCCAGTGGAACGGGGGGAAAGGGCACGCAAAGGTGGCAAAGCGGAAGGGGAAAATGGCCACACGGGAGGAGAGAGAGGCCCCACGGGGAGCGCAAATCATCGAGGCGAAAGCAAACTAAGTGCCTTAAAAAATCTTTTGAAGAACAAAAATTACATCCTCATCAGCACCATGTCTTCCCTGGCCGTGCTAAGCCTCTTCGTGGGCAACGTGCTGCTGGCCGCGCTTAACGCATTCGAAGGGGAAAAAAACAACATCACCGTGGTGGTGGCTCTGTACATCTTGGTGTGCATCGTCCCCTCGTTCTTCATTGCGAATTTGCTGGATGCGAGAGAGGAAGGAACTAGCGAAAACGTGGCGACCACCCAGCTGTGCGGGAAGATCCACCTGGACGCCCTGAAGAACCAAGTGAAGTCGCCATTTTATCAATTCATCGTGATCGAGTTCTTCACCATAACGTTCAGCATTTGCTATTTCATGTTTTCCCTGTTTGACATTTACGAGCACAGCGTATTTGGAGACACGCTAAACATATACTCCCTCGTGTTGCCATCAAGCTTTATCATCACCTTAACATTTGGCATAATAGCTGACATTATAAGCATATACAATTTTATAGGCCTCAATTTAGTTCTGGGCATTTCAGTTTTCTCTCTAACGTTTGTTTACTACAAAACGGCGAGTGTATTTGTTGGCTACCTATCATTGATCATTTATTTTTTTCACCAAAGTTTTTTTGCAAACCATATGTACATGTACATGTCGACTGTCTTTGGGGAAAACAATTTTGCAGTCCTGATTGGAATAATTAACGCATTCGCATCTGTTGCCTTTTTCCTTTCCTTTAAATCTTTCGAATACATTAAGTATCACGGAGGGCATGTCCACTCCCAGGTGCTTACTCAAATGATCATTCTTTCCTACGTGCTGTTGTTTCTTTTTCACGTTTTTTACATAAAGAGGAAGGGTGCAAGTGGACAGTTCATGAAGACGAAGGAAGGCGCTTCCGAAGTGGCACAAACTAATGTGTAACCTGGTTGGCTCTTTCTTTTGATGATGTCATCCTGGGGGGGGAAAAAAGTTTACCTCTCCTAATTTGTTCCCATAAAAGGGGTAGCCATTTTGTAAAAACAATCGCACACATGAGTTGTTGCTAGCTGTTTTAACTTTTTTTTTTTTTTTTATTTTTTATGTTTTTTTTACCTGCACCGTTCAGGCGAAATTGGACAAAATGAACATTTTTTTTTTTTTCCCATTTGTTAATACGAATAATTTGTTTGCAAATATTGGTGACCCCAACTAAGGGGCTAAGTAGTAGCTTGTCCTGTTGTGTTCCCGATCAAATGGGGTCAAACTTTGCGGAGTGGCACTGCGCGAAAGGCGCCCCTTAGGCAAGCGGAAAGAAGGGCAACATGGAAACATAGAGAAATGATCAGAACGACATCGAAGGGGATTAAAACATGAAGAGGATTAAAAGATGAAGAGGCATAGGAACTTAAGAGAAGGGAATTCCCATTTAGCATAAAGGGAAAAATAAACGCGGGAATATATTTCTAAGATAAGATAAAAGGGGGTGTGAACAAAAATGGTAGCCACAAACATCGGGAGCCCAGCGATTTTGGATTATTACCGATTTGATGAAAATATTATATGTCAGCGAGCATGGTCTAGTGGCTATGACGTTCGCCTCACACGCGAAAGATCCCGAGTTCGATCCTCGGTGCTCGTAAAAGAAGCCATGCCTTTTATCCCGCAACGCGGCTCCCTAAAGCGCAACCCTAATGATATAAAATATAGTTCCATGTTGTTACGTTTTTAATACGGTTAAAGACGAAGGCATCCTACATCGTTATATTAACGTGCTTTTTGTGCTTTTTAATTTATTAAGCATCCCTTCCGTGGTTCCTACACGCATTCTCCTTTTTTTTTTCTTCCTTTTTACGCTTTCATTACTTGTACCGCATTTGCAACGCGGTTGGGGAGGGGAAAAAAAGGTATGGCGGCCTAACGCCAAGGGAGAAACCCTATTAAAATAAAATCGCGATGTTTAAGTCGACGTGGGAACAAAACACGCTACTTATCTTTATCTCTCTCCTTTTTGTCTCTTTTAATTACGTCATCTTGGAGCAGGGTGTTCATATTCATATCCATCAACATCGAACATGGGATAGAGAGGGTCTCAATATTTCCTTTCCTATATATTCCCTTCCATGGGGGAAGAAGTAAAAAGCGGAGATTCAAAATGGCCTCCTTTTTTCACCCTAAGCTGGATGCATTCCATTATATGAAAAAGTCATCATCATGATCTTGATTATTGTGTTAACCCTGCAGAAAGGTTCCTTTCGCCATTTATGAGTGGGGCAAACAATGCAGTCAATTTTAAGAAGGGGACAGAAGGCATATAAATAATATAGAGACGATACTTCTATTTGCAGCTTCACATCCGATTTAAAAAGTGCATCTTCACTTTATGTGATGATGATGCGAGAAATTGAGGCGTCTGAAAGGAGTTACCAGTTAGATGAATATATTAAGCATCGCCTCCAACGTGTATATTGAGGCCATATAATATAAAAAAAATATTCCTAATATTGTTTTTGTTTTCATGTATTTGGTCCCAGGCGGTCTCGAACCGCCGACCTTACGGTTATTAGCCGTACGCTCTAACCAACTGAGCTATAGGACCTCTATTTATGGAAGCTTCGCTACAATCCATACTTTCCAACGGAAAGAATGCAGCAATTAACATTACGCACAAAGGGATGCAAATCTGATACTCGTTTGGTTTGGTATGTCCCCTTCCCGTGCGCTAATTTCGGAAAGGTACGGGAAAAAAAAAAACGGACATCCATACCCCTTCTCAAATCTGTTGATACTTCCCCTCTTTACCCACAATTCGCCATAAGGTCATATAAAATCCATCCTGGCAAAGCAACCGTTGCGGCAAAAAGGTGCAACGAAGGGATCCCAGTCCATCCTACCACTATTTTGCGAGTTCAACCCCGTTGGAAGTGAAAAGTGGATGCTTGGGCGACGCGGTGAGGAATTTTCATCAACACGTGGGCCAACATTTTATGAACA